CAGCCCTGATAAGGGTGCTTCCAGATGTGCATAGCATAGCCAGAAACTGTGCAGCTCTTCCACCAAGTCTTTCAGAAGAAGCCAAAAGGAATTTAAATAGAATACTAGAGCCGTTGCAGCCAGCTGATGTAAGTGCTGCATCCTAAGCCGCTGAAGGCCATCAAAGGCACGGGACCCAAGGGTGCTGCTGCTGAAAAGTCAGCAGTGTGGGCTTTCCCAGGGAAGGGGGCCCTGTGCTCAGTGAAGCCATTGCCACCAAGGCACTAGGTGAATGATCCAGCTGTTGCCTTACCTGCAGCTGTTTCACCTGTCCTGTGACTCCTTTTGTTCAGGGAATGCTGGTGGTTCAGCTGAAACTAGACTGGCCTAGTGCCTCCTGCTTTTCTCTGGAAAGCCCAGGCAAAATGAAGTGTTTCTCAACTGGAGAAAATCCCCACTATTTTCTCCCACAAATGATGGGATAACAGCAGGGGTCCATTTTCCAGCCTTTCTGGAAGTGATATATAGAGGAATTGGCTTCCCAAAGCCCCAGTAGCAGCTTCAGTAGCTGTTATAGTATATTAGGTATAAGTGACCGTCCCCTGATGGAATACAGCAATGGAGAATGCCATGCAATGGTGCCCCTGGGGCTCTGCCATTGGGTGCAGGTTCATCCCACCCCCAGTCTGGAGCTACCACCCCCTAACATTAAAGAGCACAGGGAACAAGTCCATCCCAGGGAGGGATAGGAACCATTCCCTCCTACTACCATCACCCTGCTTGCCAACAAACAGGTCGCTTTTTCTGCATGTGTCTATTTCCAAAATTTTTCACGGAGCTTCTCAGGTGCAGTGGCAGCAGTCTGAGCCTTGTCAACCAGTTCTATGAAAAGTCTGGAAAACAGACAAGTACAGAAATAAGAACCTCTCCATTTTGCTTCTGCTCAGTGCTTGCTAACTGGGGAGCCAAAGAAGCAGGGAGGAAACAATGAATTACTTTTTCCTTTGTTTATTGTAAGAAAGAAAATAAGGGCCATTTTCCCATTGCCACTGACTGGCAGGTGGCAGAAAAGGAATTAATGCTTTCCTTTTCATTTTTTTTTTTCCAAATGGCGGAAGAAAGCTCAAGCCCTCCTCATCTCTAGCAATTCCATTAAAACTTTGTACAGTGCAACTCTCCACATCTTACTTTTGCCCCATATCACTCATCTGATATGGAGGACAGTGTAGGGATTGTGCCCATTTCTTCCAGTACTGCATTCTAAGGAGCTCAGATCCTGAATGAGGAGGAGGAGCATTAAAGTGCATTGCTGAATTGCCAGGGTTAACAAAGAGGTGGCTGGTGATAACCCAACCCAACAAAGCCGGTCAGAGTGCAAAGGGTGAGAGTTCATCAGCCCAGTGGTTCAGTGTGAAGTCAAATGAGGAGACCAGTTAAGTAACATCCAGCATTTTTGCTATCTGATCCACAAGTAGCACAAACCTTCCTGAGGGTGGAGCCAGTCTTTTTGGAAGAGAAAAGACAAGATGATTTGTAATAAGCTTCTTGCATGGCAAAAGCTAACTCCACAAATTAGAATGATCATTACCTAGATATATGCTACTTTATGTTACTCATTTTCTATTGCAAAGCCAGCCTGACTCAGTAAAGGCTTGAATTTAGAAGGCTTTTACCTTGATCTAGTGAAAAGGGAAAAGGCTCTCAACAGACAGCAGCCATCCCACAATCATGGGCAGACATGCTGGCACCTGAATTTATAACATTGAAGCAGAAGAGGGGAGCCTATGGCCCCAAGGTTACAGGCAAAGTGCAAACTAAAGAAGCCCCTCCCATTTGGAATCTGACTCCACTGACTACAGGATTCAGTCCCACATCCTGAGAGTTTATGGCCCCAAAGGAATGTGTCTTTTTACAAAAAAAAGTTTGCACCAGTCCTCCTTTAAAGGCAGCACCACATGCTGTGCTTGCTACCTGCTGTCCCTTGACCTCCCACAGGACCTTTTTGACTTTGGAAGGCAGCCACCATCACCTTTTAGTCACTAACCCACACCTTGCTCTTTCTGTGGCACCTGCTACCATGTCATTCATGTGCTGAGCCACTTCAGTGCAACTGATAGTATACTAAACTATTTTCCTACTGGGTAATCTATAGCCAGGAGTCAGGGCCCAGTCATCTACTCTGCTGACTGTGCATTTGTTATTGTTATTATGTGCCATCAAGTCATCTCTCACTTATGGTAACCCTTTGAATGAAAGCGTCTAAAACATCCCATTCATCCTATTCCTAACCCTTGTAAATTCAAGGATATGCTTTCCTTTATGGAGGCAAATAATTTCATATTTAGTTTCCTCCTGCTCCTGTCTTTGAATCCCCCTAGCATGATTGTCTTCTCTAGTGGGTCTTGCCTTCAAATAATGTGCCCACCGCATGACAACCTCAGGTGTGCCACTTTTATTTCTAGGAAAAGTTTTTGATTGATTTGATCTAGGGCCAACATGAGTGATTAATCTTGATCTTGGTCTCCAGTGAAAGTTCCTTACATTTGATCTTTTCTGGTTCCTCCTGAGTCTCAATATTCTTTGAATTTCTTTGCTGCAGCCTCCTTTTGAATTGATGCCAGCAAAATTAGTGCTTGGGGATTATGGGGGTTTTAGGCCAACACATCTGGAGTTCAGCATGTCATCTACTCTTGGTACATCCTATGGTTCTTTCCAGATTTAGTCATGCTTAGAGTAGGCAGATCAAAATCAACCAAACAAGTTCTTCATGACTAACTTAAGTCCTATACATCTCAATGGTTCTGCTCTAACCATGATTAAGTCTGCATCTAACCTCAAATCTTTTCAGGTACTGAAAACAGCTAATATGTTTCCTGAAACAGTGCATATGAATAAGAGAAATATGTGATATGAAATGTATCTGACAGCAAAGGCACAGTTTTAATCATCTACAAAAAAACATGGTCAACATTAAGTTCATAGTAGGCATAAGGTCACAGTTCTACCACTTCATGAATTATATGTTGCTAGTCTTTTTTTGAATAAAATGAAACTTTAACAAGTCCATCACAACTGATTTCCTTTTGAAATCAGTGGAAGTGGAAGAAAAACAGAACATATCCTTTACTTGCCAGCATGAAACAGCTGTATTTGAACTTTCTATCCCCATTAGCTTACATTAATCAAAAGTGTGTGGCATGTGTAACAGGCTGTGAGATTTCAGACTACAGTGAAGTTTAGTCCAACTCTGATTCAAAGCAACTACTGATCAGTACCAGCTGCTCAGCCAAAGGGCAAATCACATGCTCCTAATTCCTGTCAGTTGGCTTTGCTTCACTCCAGCTCAGATTCAGATGATTGTTTGCTACAAACACTTAATTAATTCAACATGCCTTTCATCCCATTAAACTAAAGGAGAAAACATTTTTTTAATACTTGGCACAATTTAATTTTCTTCTGTCCCCTGAGATTACTTACTTCTTGAGTACTACTTGGTTACTACTTTCATGCTAGGGAGGGAAGGAGGCCACTAACCCCAGAGCTGTAAATTAAGATTCAGGATTGCTCATCCACATGGTTGGTCCTATGCTTTCTCAGGCATAATAGTGAAGGCATCCCGTGCAATCAATTTGCAGAGAGGGCTCCATGCAGAGTCAGCAGCAGAGTTCACCAAAGTCTCCGGTACACCAAGAAGGATACTTTGTGAAGTGATCCTAAGTTGAGGCAAGGCAGCAGCCCTGTTGCTGTGTGTCACTGAGATGGGGCTTGCACAACCAGATGCAGCTTTAAGATGTAAGTGTTCCCCAACAGAGCATGCTGTGCTAGCATATTCCTCCCACACCACACCACCACACCACACCACACCACACAAAAGCCCATATCTGGAAACTATCAGCACAAAGCCATATCATGGTCCCTGCCCAGCACCTGCACAATCCTATGCATGTCTGCTCAGTCCTTAGCCCCAGTGAGTTCAGTGAGACTTACTTCCATGTAAATATTTTTAGCATTGCAGACTTCCCATCCCTGAGGGTGTTGGGAGGCGCTGTATCACATGCAAACGGCATGGGTGATACCAGGGCTGCCTTACCATTGGGCTGAAGGAGGCAACTGCCTCACAGAGAAGGTGCTGGGCGTCACACCAGGCAGCACACTGTCATTTGATTAGTTTAAATTCTGTCCTTATGGAGAGGCTGGGGAAGAGCTAGTGCTCTAAAGCTGGTCCTTGATAGGAACACATGCAGGCGCAAATCCCCCATCAATCACAATGAAACAAGTCTGGACAACCCTCCATGATACTTTGGCTGCCTTAGTCATGGTCTGAGTACAAGCACATGGATTAAGCATCATAATTCTTATAACTTAAGCAGCAGAAAGTTTTATAGCCGCAGCATTTGATAAAATCAGATTTGAACTTCCAAAATCTATTGCTGGATTACACTAACTTTTTGTCCAAAAGAAAGATCACAAATTGGATTTAGATCATAACCTTTGGGTACTGGTTTGGAGGTTGGGAAAATTAAGATGAAATCAGATGGATGTTCACAGTGCTGCCCCAAAAGCAAGTCCCAGACTCCTAGTGTCTAACTGAACAGTCTGTCCACAAAATTATGCTCATCTCTGTTTCTAGCTCTAAAATGACACTTAAGCAAAGATTAATAATAATGAAATGTATAATTAAGAAATGGGTATAGGATATTTAACTTTTACTTTGTTATTAAGAAACTTTTCACAAAAGCATTTAAGTTTTAGCTGAAGAGAGAATACTAGCTGGAAGGAATTTTGTTTGTTCCTAAAACAGTGAAGATAGAGGTTAAATTTAAACTTTCAAACCAACTTGATCACTGACTTTCTCAGTGTAACAGCTGCTATTAATACAAGGGTGTTTAATGTCATTTCATCACAGTTAGTGCTATTTTTGCTTTTATTCTTAGGATATTAACTTATGGAGTGGGTGAGGGAGGAATCCTTTGAGACCTACTACCAATCTTAAAGTTTGAAGGTGAAAGAGAAAAAGTTACCTGGTGAGGTTTCCAAAGGCGATCTGTCTTTTTTGTTGACTTTCTTCAATTTTAACTCTTTCTTGCCTGGTCTGAATTTTGGAGAGTCTTGTTTCTCTGCAGGGGGCTCCATTTCTTCTTTTTTTGGCCGTTCTGTGAAAGGTGAAAATTCCTCCTCTGAATCTGGGAAAGAATAATAATGATTCCTGTTGATGATTTCCTGCAGATAGTAATCCTGATCTTCCATGGGTATACCCCAAATTACATTCCCAAACAGCACAGGATCAAAAACACAGAGCACAAGAAATAACTGCGCAAAAGATTTTTTCCTGAAGAGGAGAGTCATTTTATTTTTTGTATTATTTTTATTTTCTTGCAGTAAAAAGTTCCTCTGTGAATAGCCAGTCGAGGTTCAGTGGAGAGGAAAAACAGATCTTGGCAGTTAACGAAGCCCAGGATCAACAGCAGAGTCTGACAAAAGTGCTTCTGCTTTGGACTAATTTGCAAAACTTGCAAGTAATGAAGTAAGAGTGAGACTGGAAGCAGGGAGGGAAGTTTCTGCCTGAGGTCCATGTGACCATCAAGGCTTACCAGCCAGACACATGTGCAGACATATCAGAGAAGTGAGAGCTGGCACTTGGCAGGTCACCTCCATCTGAAGCCTTTACAGAAGACCTTTGCTTCTTTTTCTCCATCCCACATGCTGGTAAAACTTTAATCAGGCTCTTGGCGTATAAGATGCAAGGCTTGGAATACCGAGTCTGAACGCTGTTTATTCGGAGGAAGAAAGCACTGACCACAAGACTTATTCTCCAAAACCAGCTTACAAAATGTGCATTTCCTCTTGCCCAGGGTTCGGTGCAGTATAGTGTGTTTAAGTGAAAGTGTGGAGGGGGAGAATGTCCCCCCCCGCCCGAGAGTTCAAGTTCCCTCCTTCCTTAACTGAATATTAAAATGGCATTCAGATCCTACAAAACAGAAAGGAAAACAGGCTTGTGAAAATTCCTTCTCTTCCTCTAGCGCTTGATAGAAAACAGGTGTAGACTATCAGCAGGATAGAGATGTTATATTTTGCATTTATACAGTCTGCCCTCTAGAAGCAATTGAAGGATTAAGAGGTTAATAATCAAAATACATTTTAACAGCATATTTTCCTCCTAAATCTTTCCACTCTACATTTTTAGCCATACCTTCACTTCTGTGAATTATTCCTAACTAGCATTTCGCAAAAGAAAATATTCTGAGAAAAATTCTGAGGTTTTCCTCCCTTTTTCCTTGGCAGAAAAGGGGAATGTTGCACTGAAGGCAGCACAGAGTCAGTTGGCTTGGTTCACCAGACACATTTGAGCGATGAGGGCACTCTCACAAAATGGCTGCTGGGTGGGTGGAGGGGTCTTATCCCTCCATAAACTCAGTGACAGAGGTGGGCACAGCAGCATTCATTCCATAGAAGGCTACTAGTGAAACTAAAGGAAAAGTAACTTTCCAAAAACCTAAGTAAAAGAATCAGAGCTGATACTGGAGTTCCAAAATGCAAAGCCACTCATGCAGCTCAACTAGAGATGACACTGGAGGCAGCACTTTGCCTTGTAGCGTGGCAGGCTGCCCCAATAATGATGCTGATGCTGCCATCTTCACAAACAAAAATTAAAATGAGGATGGGATGGGATGGGATCTTGGCAAGGCTTCTCTCCTTATCTCTGAACACTAATGGGAACTGAATCATGTTCTCATCCTGCATAATGACACCCTACCATGCTTTGTCTTAGGTCATATATAGCATGAATCATGACTATGAGTTTTTCTCCACAGGCCAATTTTAAAGCAGAGGAAAATGCGGTACAGTAGGACTCTTGTACCCCCTGCTTCCGTTACTGCATCTTCAGTCGACCGTGGTTGACCTCAGTCCAAACGAGAAGTTGTAAAGTGCCGTAAAGTGTCAAAGGAAGTCTTACAGTGTTTCCTGTGAGCAAAAATTCTTGATTTAACAGGACGAGAAAGAAATCATATGCTGAGGTAAGAATGAGAAAGGGAAATGCACACAGTTTATTTGAGTTAATTTTGCTGCTCATGTGCCATCCATGGGTGCCCTCTTGCTGTTTGCCACTTGCCGCTCGCTGCCCACCACCACCACCTGCGGGCACCCACTTGGGCTCTCAAACACCTGACATTTATCTTATGTGACTCTTCCACTGAAAAAGTCTGACTGCCCTTGGTATATTGTATAGTGTTTGCAATTACCCCTGGTTTCAGACATCCATAGAGGGACTTGAAACCGATCTGCGTGGCTGTGGGGGTCCTGCTGCATTTAATTGTGAAAGTGAATGAAAGCATGATTTCCTTTTGCATATTAGCACCAGTCCACTATACCACTGTGCCACCTAGAGGTTGTGTAGCAGAAAAGCAGAAACTAATTCTAATGTGGCACTCAAGATTAGATTCTGTGATGAAACCAAACATAGAATAACAGGGATTAACAGCTGGATATAGAAAATCAGATCTACTATTCTGAAATGGTGTGGCATTCCCTAGGTTTGTGCTTAAACCCATACCTTAATCCTAAACCTTCTGTCATGGGATGATTTAAAATCGTTAATGAATGTTAGTAAATCTTGTAAACAACGTCCTTTATATAGTACATTTTTCTGAACTGAAGGCAAAGAATTGCATGTTTTTTGCTCCATTACGATTTTTTTTTTTAAAATCCCTGAAACTAGAAAGCAAGTATGTAGTCTCTGGCATTCTAGCTTTCTACATGAATAGAATTCTCAATGGAAGGAAATTTTTAAAGCATTTCCCACATCTGTAGTCTAAAATGGTAATATCCGGGAGGAACTCTACACGTTCTGCATATTCTTTGTGTATATTTAGGTTGATGTTCAACCTTATAGCCATGAATTCTAAAGCCATGTGTGGCAACTGTTCCTTGGGTAGGAAGCATGTCTAACAGTAACATGCAATGAGAATAAAACTCCTTTGTGTACCACTTAGTAAAAGCCATCTATTCACATTTCTCAGCAGAATATAGACCATTCATCATGGAGGATTGTTTAACATTCACTCCCACTTACCAAAAATAAATAACTTGTGTTCCCCAAAGCCAGTGGAAAATGAATGTATGAATAATAGAGAATAAAATTACATATACAATTTATGTTTAAATTTTCTTCTAAACTGCCAAGACATTTAACATTTTAGTAATTAGTTTAGCTCTAGAATAGTACAGTTGGCTAAGCCTAAATTTAAATTGAGAATACCTACATTAACTCTTTGGGGTAGCACATATGGTTTGTATATATTTTGGCAACATAGAATTGCTAAAAATAACATTTTTCCCCCTGAAGCAGCAGGAAGGTTTTGGTCCCCCAGTGCTTAAGATCTGCAATAAATTGTGAACCATAACATGGAGCAAGAAAATGGAATTACATTTTTAAACACTAATTTTTTTTCTCCCTTCACAATAACCATTTATACCTGCTGTCCACAGGAGCAAGATGTACAACTACAGGGAAAGGAAACCTTAGAGGTGCTTTTAAAAAACACAAGGTAATTGTAATTTAAACACTGGGCCCATGCTTTTTAAAATTCTACATCACATTTAATTATTATTCTTTCTCCATCATTTTGAGCACCTTCAGACCTGTCCCCAGCTGTTAAAAGCTTAAATGCTAGTTACCACTTCCCAAATATAGCAGGTCATAATAACATATTTAGACCAATTTTTTTAATATATAAAGTGACTTTTAGGACAAAATGTTGTTTGAAAAATGGAGATTTCCATGCTCTCAAAAATGTCAGAGCCATATGAGGTCTAAGTCTCTCCTGAAAAGCTCTTTTCTTTTCTTTTTTCTTTTTTCTTTTTGGACCATTTTTGGGGTGAGTGGCAGCAACACAACTCTCCTAAGACTATGGGAAAGAAATTTCCCCGGTATCTGACTGGGAGTGCTACCTCAAATAATTTCTCAATGTGGCCTGGGGAAGGTTGAGGTGTGGAGGTCCCCCAACCCCAGGAAAACAGGCCCTGCATTGCCCACACTTGTCTGAGTCTCTTTTGTGGCTTCCTCTCAGCCATCCTTCCAGGACTGCCAGAGCATTCTGAGAAGTGCAGCCTGCAGGAAGCAGTATGCACTTTTATCCACAGTTTCCCCCAGACCCAACACACACACACACACCTATATCTCCAGGGGCATAGTGGAACCAGGCCTCCGAGGGGTGTGGTGCCAGCACCTTTTTAGCAGCAGAGACAATGGCAACATCTGCCACCTCCAGGCCTCAAGACTTCCCAGTTCCCTTTGAGTGTACCTGCAGTCCTCACATTGGCTGGTCTATGGGTGTGCAGGGTGGATTTCCCAGCAACTATTGTCCCCTTGTGTAGTCCAAAGCCCTCTGGAGAGGCTTCCTCTGGACTGGGCAATTAAGACCTATTAGCTTAGCAAAAGACCTGGTCAAATTTTACCACTCCACCACTACCCATTGCTTCTCTTGGATGTGTATCTTAACATGGAAAGAGGATTTGAGAGTATCCGTGAAGCAAAGAGAAATTATGCCAGGAAGCCAGACTGTCTCAATAGGCTGGTCTTACAGAGGCATGGTGGTTTAGCAGCTAAGGAGCTGAGCTTGTCAGCTGGAAGGTCAGCCGTTCAGCTGTTCAAATCCCTAGTACCACGTAACAGAGTGATCCCCTTTATGTGCACCAGCTCCTGCCAACCTAGCAGTTCAAAATCATGCAAATGTAAGTAGATGAATAGGAACCTCTTCGGTGGGAAGCTACCAGTGTTCCATGCATGAAAGCATCTAGTCATGCTGGCCACGTGACCACAGAAGTGTCTTTGGACAATGTTGGCTCTTTGGCTTAGAAATGGAGATGAGCACCACCCCTAGAATTGGTCATGCTAGCACACATGTGCAGGAAGAACCTTTACCTTTACAGCAGGGATGCATTCACCTTCTTCAGGAGTAATGGTCACATGAGCAGAAGAAAATGGATCCCTCTAACAGTGATGGAGGTAGAGAAACTTCTGGGCAGCAGCAGTAGCTGAAGGTGACACTGGTGGAAGATCTTTCACAAACAATGGCAGTGATTCTGATGTTAATGCTGGTTATTACTGCTCAGGAGACAGTAATCCACTTCTGAATTTTCTTACCATGAAAATCCTATGATAAAACAACCCAAAATGAACCAGGAAATGCCAGTGAATCCCAGGTTCAAAGGTGCTCAACCAGTTCCTAGGAAAGAACAAAGGACAAGTATGAATACTACTATAGGTTATGACACAACTAGGTCAAAGCCAACAGGAAATCTAGTGATTGACAGATATAGATGCAAAAGGAAAGTCCAGTACTGCTCAGCTCATACAGATGGGATGTGGAACATGAGAAGTATGGATTAAGACAAACTGGAAACAGTGAAGATTGATATTGAAGACTTAAACATTGTAGTCCTTGGTGTGAGAAAACTAAAGTGAACTGGAATGGCACATTTTCTGTCAGACAAGCATTTCTGTTGGAAATGCCAAACTCAGAAGAAACATAGTGGCTCTGATAGCAATGATCCACAGTCCAAGTGAATGTTATCCATCATAATTCTCAGAAAACCTATCAACATATCTGTCATTCAGGTCTACAGTCCAACAGTTGATACTGAAGAAGAAGAAATCAAAAACTTGTGTGCAGGTATCCCAGAGGAAATTGATAACACACCAAACCAAAACAGGTGACCAGCAAACAAA